TGTCATCATGCAAAACCGCACACCCTCATCCTTACATAATGCGCATCGATGCTCGAATTGAGGCTTCAAGTTATGTTCAATCCAATTATGTGCATCTAATGACAAAGACTTGATCTTCTCTCTACAATGTTCATACACTAATGTATCGGTTGCACACCCAGCTTGCCACAAAAGATTTTGCAAATTAATCTCACCGTGTTTTTTCTTAAAATTATCTCTTATATGCCTCAAACAATATCGATGGTGATGTGGTGCACCAAAACCCTCATGTAATGCCCTTATAATTCCTTTCATCCTATCTGAGATAAAAGTAATTAATCTGGGCGCACGGACACTAGGAATCCACTTGTATATAAGTTCAAAGAACCACTTCCAACTAGAAGTATCCTCTACCTCCACAACTGCAAATGCTAGAGGAAATAAACCGCCATTTGCATCTACACCGGTCGCCACAAGAAGCACGCCTTTGTACTTGCCATATAGATGTGTACCGTCAATGCTCAATAACGGACGACAAAAAGTGAAGCCCTTAATAGCCGGACCAAATGCCCAAAATACTCGAGTGAACCTCTCCATCCCCGGTGCAATCTCTTCAGACAATATTTCATATTCAGTACCCGGATTATTTCGCTTGATAGCTTGAAGATACTGTGGAAGTAATTCATAAGATTTTTCCCAATCTCCAAATATTTTCGACAATGCTTTCCTCCTTGCATCATATGCCTTATATTTAGATATCTTAATGCCCCGCATATCATATACCCTTTGAAATATCTGACTTGCATTTAGATCAAGTTCAGCTCTAACTTCAGGCATAATTAGCTTACATATATAAGAGGAAGATGCAGAATAATGATCGACGTCCACCGACGGATTGCAACATGTATGAAGCCCGCAATATCTAGATATTACAAATTGCCCATTTGTTGATTTCCTCACAGCGGCATTTAGCAACCAAGGACATTTCCTGTTTCTCTCATCTTGCTCATTTGCATGCTCTACTTCATTCTTCTCGTTGAAATAACATTTTACATAGTAGTTGGTTGTATTAGTTTTTACAGGCTTGAAATTGACCCGATTTTTTATAGACCATTCTCGCACCGCAAAGATCAATGCTTCCTTGCTCTCGAATAGGTCCCCTTTTTTAAAAGTGAAGTCTTCAGGCCGTTGAAAGTTTGGACCAACATCAACAAATTCAGCTTGCGAAGTATTTATCCAATCTTCATTATGAAACTCGTCGGGCAACGGATCTTCAGCTTCCACATAATCATTGTTAACATTAAATTGATCCATCCAACGAGAATCATCATCGATTCCAACTGCCACATGCATGCTATCAATTTGCACGTCTTCTTCTTCAATATTTTCTGAGTCATCATTTACTTCTTCTTCTTCTACAATTGATCCGGCCGGTAGATCACCCGTAACATAGCCCGATGCGTCGTTAAATATAGTACTTGACGTCCCACCAAGAGAATGCCCACTTAAATGTTGTAGTTGACACCACGGCTCTTGACTTGGAGATGTCATAAAACCACTCGACTCATTGTCTAAGTCCATCATCCGAGAAAACTCTCCTTGTGGTCGTGAAGCTTGGGCAAATTCTTGAATCGGATACTTCTCAATGAACAACCCAACTGACGCTTGCTTCTCCACTAATTGTTTCATGTCATTCAATTCCCCATCGTCGGTAATCGCCACAGCAATAGTTCTACTCTCATTTACCGGACAATTGAAGAACACTTTAATTGCATAACATGCTTTATTAATTTTCGTAACTCTGTGTATTTCATTCATCATTCCATCAAAATTTAATGACTTGGATAACATAAATATTTTCCTAGAACCTCCCTCATACATCGGCATACTATTCAATCCGACGCCGAGGCTCCCATTGAAGAAGCAAATAATGGGTATAGAGTTTGCCATCGAAGCTGAAAATCAACAGTCCATCATATGTAAATAATCTATTATAACTGTAAATATTAATCTTAATTTAAAGTCAAATTTAAAACCCTAATCTCAACTACAAAGCAAATAATTGCTAAATTCCCTAATCCCAAATCACATTATTCATGTCTAAACCCTAATTATGGTTAAACCCTAATCTCAAATCACATTATTCATGTCTAAACCCTAATCATGTCTAAACCCTAATCTCAAATACATTCCCAAATTTCAACCTTAATCCCAAATCTCAACTAAATCCATTCCCAAATCTCAACCATAATTCCCAAATCCCAACCCAAATCCATTCCCAAATCCGAAATTTCATGGCTAATCAAAATTAAAAAAAAACCACATTTACCTTGTCGGAGCAAACTTGGCCGGCGGTGGTCGGAGCAAACTTGTCCGGCGGAGGCGGTGGTCGGAGGGCGCTTGGTCGGCGGCGGCGGTGGTCGGAGGGCGCTTGGTCGGCGGCGGCAGTGGAGGAAGCCGCTGGGTTTGAGGAGCGGGTGAAAGAGGAGGGGTGAATGGGTTTGGGTGAAAAGGAGTGCGGTCAAAGATGAAGTCGGGTCTATTTTTACCACCGATCGCACGGAACTGCTAGTCCCGTGTTAATCGAAACTGCCACGAAATACACGGGACTAGCAGTCCCGTGTATGTCCTAAAAATTATTCAGCAGCAAAACCGACCCTTTTCAAAAGAAAAGGGTCGGTTTTGCTATTTAAATTTTAAAGAGGTCGGTTTTGCTATTTAATTTTCGAAATTGGTTAATTTTGAAAATTTGTCCTAAATAAATGTGCATTAAGTCTTGACAGCGTGATGAGAGAATGAATAGAGGTTGTGACGCACGTGGAGCACGTGGGGATAGGTAGCATTAATAATGTTGCTTCGTTGTACCACATGGGATTATTTTCGGCAGAACCCACATTTAAGACCAATAATGGGAAAGTTGAAAGAGACGATGTAGGTAGCTTCATATGAGGTCAATTCGTATTAATAATTCACTAATTATATTCTTCTTCTTTTATTATTGGATATACGTTGTTCTTCTCTTATTATTAGATTTTTCTTTTCATCGATCTCAAACTTTCTTGCAGGCAATTCATACATTTCGTAGTTAATTTTTGGTTGTAAATTGTTAGGTACCAATTGTTAAAGTTTGTTACTCTTTATATGATGACCATAACATAAAAGCGGTGGAATGGTAATACAGTTGTTATGGTGTTTTTAGTCGCCAAATTGTGGCACTTTGCCAACAACGGGTAGGTGTCCCTCCGACGCGCACCGTTCAAATCGAATTGACGATCAGAACTGCCAGGATCCCGAGTTAGCTGACTCGCCGAGTCGCCGTCTCCTTAGGTTGACTCGAAGGGCGGTACTTGTCGGTCCTCTTATCGAAGACGACTCACTGCGAATCCGCTCGACTAGTTATTCGACACGAAAGGCGTTACTTCTCGACACCCTTCGTTACAAGCCAAAAGATGACTTTCAACCTCGAACCCCCTAACCCCCCCTGCGCTGACAGCTCGTCGACGTCACATTAAATGCTTGGCAGGCGCCATCATTTCTCCATCATCGACGCTATTTATGATACATCGGACCACGTTGGCTTCGCGCGTCGCCCATCGCATCTCATTAATGACGAAATGACATCGCACATCCCGTGACCGATCCACGACCGACACCTGTAAAGTAGATGTTGACTCGGCCACCAGCTCAGGCTTGGCCAAAAAAACTAGACTACCCCTCTTGCGTTGCTATAAAATGGGAAACTATTCTAAATACAATGTAAGCAATTTTCTCATTATGTTTCTCCATTCCCGCTACATTTTCTCATACTCTCACTCAAGCACCTAGCTGACTTGATCGTCGGAGGAACAACAGGTGAACCAGTCCCCGTCCACATGTAGGGACGAACAACCCAACTCTAAATCGGATATTCGAAAAAGTGAGCGGCTCCCATATCAACTCATTCCCTATTATCTTCCTTTTACCTGTGTAATTTAAATCATCAACAACAACATATGAACAACGCACCATAAAATTATAGAGATAGAAATAACATATGTGCATATCAAAGAGTTGTATAATATTCATAATTTTCAAGTTTAAACATGCAAGCCCGCGTATTTAAAGATGGTCGTTCGCTTGGTAAAGCAGGGAAACTTTAGACGTTTGCTCCAATCTCGCTGAGAGAAGTCTAATAATATGAAGGGTGTTGCTACAGGGACCCGCCCCAAGGCATGGGACAGGTGAGGTGTCACCATCCGGTTACATGATGCACTATTCATGAATAATACATTATGCAACCGGATGGTGACACCTCACCTGTCCCATGCCTTGGGTCCCCTATTTGGATCCTTGATGCATTAATGTAATATAAAATAGCAAAGATTTCCTTAAAAAATTAAATGAAATAGCAAATCATTAATAAAATTACAAATAGACCCTTTGAAACTTTTTGTTTGCCCTTCAAGAGATCAGCAATAACCCCTGATGATCATCTTTCCTGTTTTTGTGCATACAAATCCACATGGGAGGGAGATCAATTATCTTTCATATCATCTCACAAATTTATTGGCACAAAACTGACCTAGTTAGATAAGCCGGTGTAGTCTTCCAACACCAACTAATTCTAATTTATTATATGAACTCCTCTTCTTCTTTTTTTAATAGAAACAAGCTTCATTTTATTAGCTTTACAAAATCCATCCAAAGAAAATGAACTAGAGGACATGGTAAATGGTTTTATCAAAACATAAACGAAATTCATAGATGTGAAGTAACAGCTCATTTTGCAAAATGAGCTACCAAGCAATAAAGATGGTGAGGCTCACCCCTGTGATATGACTTTTAAAATGAGCCTCACCACATGGTTATTTCTTAATAACTCATTTAATGAAATGAGCAGACAACTCATACACATTATTTTTAACATATATACACGAGAAAATTCTGAACGCTATAAAATAAGGCCCACGAACTTCTTGTTAATCAGGCCCAAGCCAGGCGAAACCGGCCCAGTTGCAAAAAGCTCATCGCCGAGGCCATTTTAGTCCTTTGACCGCTATAAAATCATCTCCGCCCCCAATTCCATACAAAACCCTAGCCCTAAATTTTCCCCCGCCGCCGAGGAACACTCAGATCTCCTCCGTCTCAGGTATCTCTCTCTAAAAAACCCTAACCCTAGATCATTTCCTCCTTCGTCAATCTCTAGCCTTCTTCTTCCTTTACTAGGGTTTCAATGGCGAAGTCGAAGAACCACACGGCCCACAACCAGTCCTACAAGGCCCACAAGAACGGCATCAAGAAGCCCAAGAAGCACAGGAACGCGTCAACCAAAGGGGTAAAGTTTCGATTTTTACATCAGAAAATTGATTTTTTCCCCCTCTTATTACCTTGCTTGGTGAGTTTTTGAAGTGGAGATTGGTTCGTTGTTGCAGATGGACCCAAAGTTTTTGAGGAACCAGAGGTACGCGAGGAAGCACAACAAGAAGAACGCAGAGGCTGGATCCGAGCAAGAGGAGTAAAGAATGAATCTTTTTGTTACTTGAAGCTAGGGTTACGTTTATGTTGTTTCATCGTTAATTAGAGTATTAAGTGATTTTATGCTTGTGGTTTTATTTTGAGATGCTACTTCTAATTAAGCTGTTATTTTAGTAGTTACATGAGTTTGGATTAAGCCTATTTGTTTTTATGTAGGTTTTTTTGGGTTTGTTGATTTTAGTTCTAAGCTCATTGTTTTCTGCCTAATTTATATATTTTCCTAGCTTATATTTGATGATTTAGTATGTTTATTACCTGTGTGGTTGAGAAGTAGGTGAAAAATTGTGATTTTAAGTATAAATTAATAGCTGTTGCCTTGTTCTTGGTTCGTATATTGGCATTTTTAGTATGCTTGATTGGATTGTTCTAGTAGAGGGTTGAGTTTGTCTGAAACTTGAATTATATTTGATTAGGATTTGAGACTTTCTGGTGGATTTTGCTCATTAGATAGTGTTCCTAGGATCATATATTCTTGTTAAAATGCGAAATAGCAACGTCTGGGGTTGATCGTATCGATCCTAGGACTTTTTTTTCTTCTTTAGAGCGGCTTGGTTTGGTAGAGGAGAAAGTAAGATAAAGGGAGGGACAAAAATCCAAAGTGCCTTTGGTAGAGTGATTTTAGAAGGGAAGGTAGAGTAGAGGGAAGTAAGGTAGAGTGGGGTTCAACTTGAAATGAACTAAAAGTGAGGAGAGAGAAGAATCCCTCCAAATTGGAGGGATTCAACAAGAGAGAGAAAATGAACTACAAATTGATGTGTTTTCTCTCTCTCTCTCTTCCACTTCTACCAAACATGAAGCATAGGATGTTTATACTTCCCTTGTACCTCTTTGCACCTCTCTTTACTTTACCTTCCCTCTTCACACCGCCTACCAAACTATGCCTAGAGTTTATTAAATAAGTTTTCTATGTCCTCTAAACAATTAGTGGTTTAATGGTTATCTAACCTATAGATCAAGGTTGAACAACTATGTTTGATGATAATTGAATTGCTGCAAGGATTCTCTTGAAGCATTTAGTATCTAGTTGATAGAGTTGCATTGAAGGGTTAGGTATAAGTGCATCGGTTATGTGCTATTCTCTTCTTGCAGATTAACTATCGGAAGATGGGCCAAGTAGATTGTTGAGAGAAACGTCCAATGGATCTGCACCATTGGACAATTGATTCAAAGGTTTACCTTTGGATCAGCGTAGGCGAGCGGTTTGGTTATTAGTGTATTGGTTTTAAGTGTTCTTTCCTTGATAAATCTCAAATTTTCTTGTAATAAGGGCCATTAGACAATTTTCTCGTGAGAGAACTCAATGGATTTGAAATTGATGATCCAAGGACTGTCTATCCTTGGATCAGTGCAAAATAGGTGGTTAGAAGAGAAGTATACCAATTCAAGATTTTTTTCCTTGGAGGATATGTTGTTCAATGGACAAGATACATCAAGATACTTCCATCGTGAGGGTATCTAATTGACCAATGTACTCATCATTAGACCTTTCTATTTTGCACTGATATAAGGATAGACAGTTCTTGGAGTATTAATTGTCGCGTAGGAATGACCCACTAGATAGTTTCGTATGAAACTATTTTGTGTATAAGATTTTCGAGTTGGCTAAACATTTGATCCATGTAAAACTGAATGGTAGATCAGTGCATGAATGCATTAGTCAGGGATTCTTTTGAAGCATTAGCTGAACAATGGATAATTTTTCACTATATAGTTTTTTCATCGAGAAACTATATAGAGGATTTCTATTAAAGTGCATCATAGAAGTTTGGTGATAATTGTATCGATCCATAAGTTCTTGGAGCATCAACTGTTTGATGGATATAGTTTATTAGATAGAATTCCTGTGTGAGCTATTCAATCATTCAATCAGAACTACAAAATGGATTATGTACTTTATACAAAATGGATTATGTACTTTAGATGTTGATAGTTGAAGCAGTGTTTTTTTGGTTTAGTGCTAAACAACATGAGTATGGATCAATGAAGTATTCTTTTGTTGGAGCCCTAATTGTTTAGTGGATAGGGTCTACTGGATAGTTTTCTCAAAGAGAAATTATCCAATGGGTCCTATTCACTGGATAATTGGTGGTTCAAGGGATCAGTGTATATGTGAGCTTTCATGATGGTTGCACTGGTTGAAGGGTTCTTCTATTGGAACACCAGCTGTCTAGTGGACATGGTCTACTGTATTTTTTATGAAAAATCATTCAGTTGATCATGTTCGCTGTACAGTTGGTGGTCTAAGAGTTGTCTATCCTTGGATCACTGCAAAATTGTGAGGCTTGAAGATGGGTACTGATCATAGAGGTCTCCTTTCATAGGGCCAATGGTGGATAGCGCCATTGGATAGTTTTCTTACGAAATGCGCTCTTTGACGAAATGCTCGCTCTTATGTGGTCGGTAGCTTGAGGATCCTTTGCCCTTTGATCAGTGTAAGATGAGAAGGATTGGAGTTGTGTGCGGGGGTTAGTTACTAGTTGATAAAGCTTGTTCAGGTTTTGACCGGAAGCATCACTTAATTTTCTGGTGAATGTCAATAATGCGGGTTGAGCTATATAGTACGTGGTTGTGGGATTTTGGGTCCAGATCATTTTCTAGCCTGGTCCAGTGAGACCTGTTCGATTTATTTTCTTGTGATTTGTTGGTTAAAAAAAATTGAACCAAACACTAGCAAAAATGAAGAGAACTGGTGACTTTTCCATGCTTTTACTGCAGAAATGTAGTAGTTCTTTTTATCATATATATATGTATTAGGAAGTGGTGGGCGAAAATGTTGTCTTTGGGCGGAGGCAATTTCATATTTTCTGTGTCCGGTTGGTTTTTATTTGAAACTTTTGTTGAGTTTAATCCTGAATGCCGGCGCCTCTGTGTGCGGGCAATGCGTGGATGTGTGTATTGTCATAGTATGCCGTTGTAGATTTCTTCTTTTTACGTGATTTTAGGGGTTGTTTGGTTCAATTTCTACAAATTATAGGAAATGTTTTCCATCCAAAATACGATTTCTTTGTATTTCTTAAAAAAATTATAAGAAAAGTTTCGAGAAGTCAAAAAGTACCTATTATTTTATTATTTTTACTTTGATCGTTTGGTTCAAAATAAAAAAATAGCTTATAAATTTATAAAAAATAGCAAGATTTTTTATAATTTGTAGAAATTGAACCAAGCACCTCTAAATTTATCGAAAATGTCAACTTTATAGAAAAATGTCGATGTTATGTCATATTTCTGGATGATTTCGCCCATTTTGAGAGAAAATTATTTTTTGCAAATTTTGGTGTTTTTTATACTTTATAGAAAACATTTCTGAAGATTTTTTTGAACCAAACACAGTTAACAGAAATCTACAGAAAATTTTTAATTACAGAATTATCATTGTCAGACATTTTGAGAAAACTTTTCTACAAAATTGTGCAACCAAACACCCCCTTAGCCATGACCTTTGTCAGCCGAGCTGGATGTATAGCATCACAACTGTGGGCATCGTAGGGAGATCGGGCAAAATATAGCTTGGGTTGATGAGTTGATTTAAAGCCCCTGGTTCGGATATTTTACATGTTTATTAAACACAATAATCATAAGAAAAACCTTTATTTACATCGCATTTTGAGGGTTATTATTGAGAACATAAAAAAAAAAAAAGACGAGAAACGACGAGGCCCGTCCAATATTCTGCGGTCCTCACGCTCGACGCTTGACGATCAAAACCGGGCACTTCGCGTTTCGAGCACAGTAATCACTCACGCTCCCAATAAATGCCCTGAACCAAACACGAAATCGCCAATTACTAAAAAAAATTAGAAACTAAAAAATTAAAATTATATTCCCAACCTTTTAATGAATCCGTAGCCATGACTGCCCATCACCAAGACATCGGCCCCAACCTTATCGACCGTATCGCAAATCACGTCTCTCGCGTCTCCGCTGCGAGCCTTCTTCTCAACTTTAATCTGATATATATATATATATTTTTTTGTCAAATGACGAAGATTTATGATTAATTTTCGAACCACACTAATCATCTTTAAACAGAAAAATAGATTAAAACACAGGGTTCGTTACGTTATCGTAGTTTCTGCAGATGTTTTCAGCTCTTTCCAGCACCGAATTTGCGAGGTCTCTGCTGTATCGGTCCATCGAAGCCAGGACTTCTTCTGAAAACAGATACCCTGCATGTAACACATGAACCATGAGTTTTGATTTGAGCCCAAAAAAAAAAAAAGAAAAAAAAATCTTAAAAGACTATTTGCGCAGGTATTTTTGTAAAATTACATGTATAATATAATTGTTGTTCGTCCCATAAAGGCTATAGATATGGTTAGTAGTACCTGTATTTGGTACTCCCAAACTATGACAATATTCAACCTCAGCAGCAAATTGACGTCGCCTCCTCGTTGTTTCTGATGTAGTTATGAGATTAATTCTTTATTATTTTGCTTTTTTCATCTACTTTTCACTTTTTTTATATAATCTGTATCGTCCTTTTATGCTAGATGTTTAGGCTGTAATTTTTTTCCGGGTTATTTCATAACGGGAAGTGCTACAGACACACCTTCGGGCACACCTCCGGTCACACCTCCCTCTAGCTACACTGTAGCAATGGGGTGGTCAGAGGTGTGCCCAAGGGTACGACTGTATTATTTTTCTTTCATAATTAATGCCGCGACATCACGCTCAAAAACTGTATATACCTGCGCCGTTCAACATGGAGTAGGTTGGCGTCACAGGACGAGCGTACAGCAATACAACCGTGTTGGCATCGCGCGCGGGGATGAGGTTGTCAAGGCACCACTTGAGGGCGTAGATGCTCTCCTCGCTCTCGTCGATCGCCGCCACCACCATCCTCCTCTCTCCTTCTACGATCGTAGTCTCAGCCATTAAAACCCCCTCACGATCGGTACTCGATCAGCTTTTTTGCTTTCTTTGTTTGTTTCTTTGTAGTGGTTGATCCGGGTGGGGGGCCTCGCTGCTTATAAAAGCGGGTTTAGCGGGTCCGCGGGTTTTCTGTAAACCATGGGTTAGCTTCTGTTTAGGATAAATTTTAGTTTTAGACCCTTTTAGGAATTTATTTTTAAAAATCGACCCCTTTCAGATTTATTCACAGATTTCGACCTAGTTTCTGAAACTGGGTCGGAATTTGTGGATAAAGCTGAAAAACTTCAAGGGATTTAGAATTCCGTGAAGTATACTCCTTAATTAATCTTCACGGGTTAGTCTAACTCCATCAGATTTTAAATCCCGAGGAGATCAATATGACATGGTTGCCATAGTTGACCAAATGCTTAGCTCAAAGAAAGCTAAACTTCAATCATTCAAGTGGTCTTGAGTTAGAATCTCACCCCAACATATTTTTTCCTTGAACATTTAAAATTTTTTACAAGGCTAGGATTCAAACCAAGTGCTTCTCATCCAAGTCTTATAAGCTAATGTTATAACCACCAAACCCATTACACATAACTACTTATTTTATGAAATTTGTTTGATATAAACTTCACGGGATTTAAAATCCCGTAAAATTTAGTAGCAGTTTATCGTCTGAGCCAAGCTTTTTGGTTAGCGCTAATTAATTAATGATATAATTTTATGGGATTTTAAATCTTGTGAAGTTTTTCAACTTTATTCGAAAGTTTCGACCCATTGTCAGCTACCTGACTGAAACTTGGTCGAAATTTGCAAATAAATCTGAAAAGGGTTGATTTTTGGAAATAAATTCCTAAAAAGGTCTAAAACGAAATTTGCCCTTTTGTTTGATTCCGGTGGTGGTTTCAAATGGATAAGAACGAGGACAAGGATGTGGGCGGAGGGGAGGCAAAACTATCCAATAGATTGCAGGAATTTGATGGTTTTGTTGTTGAGCAGTTATGATATTTTAGTCTTTGTTATTTTTAAGCCGATATTTGTATCAATATAAAAAGTGTTAATTGCTTAAGACCCTCTAACTGTCATCGAGTTGCAGATAGATCCATGTGGTTCTATTGTTGTAGATACACTAGTTAATTGAATTTTTTGGCTCTTTTATCTTTAAGAGTTTTTTTCCCTTAAAAATAATCTTTTTTTTGAAGATAAAAGAGTCATGAAAATTACACTCAAGAGGGTGTACCTACAACCATTAAACTACAATGGTCTATCCGTAATTGAGCAAATAGTATGAGGAGCGTACCCTCATTATCAGGGGCAAAGTCATATACGGCCCTGGTTTCTCCTTGATATTACAAATATATGTATAAGTATTAATATCTTTATTTAAATATCTTATAGTTTCCTCTACTTTGCATTTATATACCCTCAATTATTTTTTGTAACACTTATATACCCTAAAGTTCTTAGAAATTGCACTTATATATCCTGACTTGTTTTGGCTACAATTATATACCCTAATTTTTTTAAACTTTCAGTTATGCAAATGTGGAAATTTTCCCAAAAGTTCTCATGCAGCACTTACATATTAAATTTATTTATTTTTTGTTAAATTTACTATTCAAACTATCATATTTCTATTTTAAAGTAGTATTCGGATATATCTAACATTAAGTCTAACAACTATTAAGAGTTAAAACCACTCTAAAATTAAAATTAGCATGTCAGCGTCACACAATAATTTTTTTAAAAAAATTATCGTGTTTGCATAGCTGGAGTATATAAGTGTAAGTTTCAGAAACTTTAAAATATTTAAGTGCAAGTTTTAGAAACTTTAGGGTATTTAAATGTTGCCAAAAAACAAGTTAAGAGTATATAAGTGTAATGTAGAGGAAACATTGTTGGAAATTGAAGTTAAATCTGGAATTGAACAGTGAAGGATGATGTGCTGTTATTTTAAATTTTTTCAATTAACTGTTGTACGTTTGTGAAATGTTGTGCTTAAAGTAATATTTGGCCTACTCTGGTGCAAGGATCCCAATGCCAAACTGCTTCCAGGAACAGCAGTACAGTACTCTGGTGTGCACCAACCCAGTACTGTCAAGATCTCCTCGATCTATAAGACCTTTCGGTCAAGGCAAAAGATCTCCTCGATCTTAGAACCTTACGGTTCAAAACCTTTCGGTTTCAGGGTTCCCGCGGGCATAGTTTCTGCAGCAACAGCACAACAACAACGTCAATCTAACGTTCGTATTCCAAGCTCGCGTGGGTATTCCGACGTTTGTATTCTATACTGACGTTCGTATTCCACGCTTGCGAGAGAATTTCCAGCCTCTTCCAAGAGCTGCCCAAGGGCGCTATTTATAGGCCTCTAAGGCCAGCTCAAGAGTCATTAGCAATTAATGCGACTGTTACAATTTTCAATGGCAATTAAGATTATAACATCAATGCATTAAATTGCTCTAATTGTTGTTGTAACTGCTGCATGTATTAACTCTAGAATACGAGGCAATCAATGGACGCGTTGCTACGAAACGCGAGGGTCACGTCTCAGCAAATCAGATGAACCTCGTTTGACAAACGAACGTCGTCAAATAGGCGAACATCGTATGATAGACGAACCTCATCGAACGAGCGAACATAGTCAAACAGGCGAACGTCGTATGACATACGAACCTCGTCGATCGAGCGAACCTCATCAAACAGGCAAACCTTATATGACATACGAACCTCGTATGACAGATGAACCTCGTCGAACGAACGAACCTCGTATGACAGACGAACCTTGTATGACAGACGAACCTCGTCGAACTAACGAACATCGTCAAACTACGAGAACGCTAGGGTCACACTCGTGCGAATACGTAGCTCGTCCGCATGCTGCGAAGCAGCCTGTGAGGCAACCTTCGTGGCGCCAAACAGCACCACCTCGCCCCGATCCCTCCGTTGGAAGTGCAAAGTGCGCCTAACAAAGCTCCACTTAGCGCCTCAGCCCGATTAGCCCCGATCCCCGGCCCATTGGCCCACGGCCCACTAGAACTTATGAGGGATTAATTCAAATAAAACACTTCTCGTGGCCCACGGCCCACTAGAACTTATGAGGGATTAATTCAAATAAAACACTTCTCGGCTTGCCGTTGGCAAACCTCGAACAAGGGACCTTTTGAAACACCAAAACATAAACTTTTCACTAGGCTACTAAACATTTATGAAAAGTACTTGTAGTTAATATATATATATAGTTTGAAAATCATTTTGGAAAGCAGTTTTGACCAAAAAATCCAACACTATAGGGTATTTAAGTGCAATTAAAACATTATTATACAGTAATTTTCGAAACTATAAAGCTAAATTGTATAATTTTCAAACAAAATAAGTTGTTTCTTTCTTTCTCACGATTTTTGTAATTTCCATGGGATAGTAATCCTGAATAATTGAATATGGAAGATAGATGTCATGAAATAGTTTCAAGAAATGAAGGCAAAAATATTGATGTTGTAAACACTATATTCTAATTGAACGTATGACTCAAAGTCAAAGTCTTGTTACATAATGATCCTTATATGTTAATCAATTGTGAAAAATAACTAATTATCCTTATATGCTCAAAGTTTTGTGACATTTACCCTTTTATTGACAAAAATTCAAATCACCTTTTGACATGCAGAAAATATAAATAGCGACAGTGTTGGATACTCAAAACCAAGGGTGGACGTGGGTTGGGCCGATTCAGACCTGTGACCCGGCCTGTCGGGTTAAAGGTCGGACCGGGTCCGACCTGGGTCTCGAGCTAGAGTGGGCCGGGTCTATTTCTCCGATCCCGGGTCAGGGGCAGGACCTAGCCCAACCCATGATCTGTCTAGGCTCGCCCCACGACCCTCGGGTCATGGGTAGGTCCGTGGGTTTTTTTTAACTTTTTTCTAATTTTTTTATTTTTAATTTCTAAATTATATTAACTTTGTATTAGTATCTAATTAATTATATTTAAATTATTTTTTATTTTACTCTTTATTTAAAATGATATATATACACACACATTGTACAAAGATAATCATTACACAGAAAAAACATCGCAAACACAAACATATATATGGTTCAGACTTGAAGGAAGACCTACGTCCACGAGAAGTTAATAACTTTTCTTTAGTTTAAATTTAAATTTCAAATACAAGAGGAAAAAATGTTAACTAAAAACTAATAATTAAAATCTCAGAATAGGTCAGGCTGAGCCGAGCCGAGTCGATGGTGGGTCGGGTTAAGGTGAGCCGGGCCTATTTCTCTAGTCACGATTCTGGAGCTGGAACTAGTTCGGCCCGTGACCAGCGTATATCACGGGCCGGTTTAAGCCTGACCCACTATAGGCCGGGTCGGGCTTAACCCATGACGGGCTAGGTCGGGTCAGCCCGCGAGTCGACCCAGTTCCGCGCCCAACCTTCAATACCCACACCTCGAAAAAAAAAAAATCAAATTTAAAAGGTGAAACTTCAAAATCACAATTATTATTATTATTTTGGATAAAAGAAAAGGGGCCTGGGCCCCAAAAACGAGAAGAAGTTGCATAGATCTAGCCAACGAGAGCTCCATAATATCACTCGCTATAACCAATTTAAGAAGCTCTAGGATAAAACCACAAATTGTAAATCTAGGGAGCTTGGCCCCCCAAACCTTGAGCGAACCCTGTAGGCCAAAGTCCAGCTAAAGCCCACAACCTCATAACATCATGCGTAGCTATTTCTCATTCTGAAGACGTCAGCTGGTAGCCGAACTTTGCAATTCCTCTCCAATATATTCCTTGTTTATAATACTCACAGCAATATCTCTGCTTCAACCCTCTTCGATGTTGTTGCGAATGATCAACAATAATGCGAATTTGGTTTTGACTATGTATTTAATTGAACGACAGGCGCTTGTGATATAACTTGAAAAGAAAGTAATGAGAAAATAATTAAATCTGAGTGAATATAATTAACTGTATAGCAATTAATCAACTGTTTTAATCAGCATTTCCTATGAGTAGTAATGTTTAGTGAGATAATCTAACAACTCTAGGCCCATATATACACCAAATTTCCAAGTTGGTTCACTAACTTA